GATGGAAAATTCTCGAGAACAAAAAAATTGAGAATATTCTCAATAATGAGAATTTTCTGATAACGACCTACTAGAAGTAGTAAAACCTACACAAAATCTAAGATTTTATTGAACATTAACAAAAACAAAATATAATAACTTATGTTCCATCTTTGGAGATAAATAAAAAAATAGTCTCGTTATTTCAAAAACATAAAAACAAAGTAAAAAGTTGAACAGACTTAAACAAAATGAAGTTAAGAAAATGAATCTGAGTCAGAAAAAATTTCCAGATCACAGTTTTCATTCTCTGACGCCTCCGACTCATCACCATCGTCAGACTCCATTATCATTCTCACTGCCTCTATTTTTTCAAGACTCTCCTTCGACTGGCAGTGCGAAGTAGAAGGGTTCTCTTCTTCATATTTGGACCGTTTGGACATCGCTGATACCTGGCCCTGGTCCAATAGTTTTAAATTATGAGCTATGAAAGTAACTTTACCGGCTCGCTCAGCTGTCAGTCGGTTTCTTTTTGAAGAGTGTATGAAACCATATGTACTGAAACTTCTTTCGGTAGCCGCGCTAGTCGCAGGCATTCCCAGAATTTGAACCGCTAATTTACTTAGTTTTGTTCCAAAACAGGTTCCTTTCCACCAAATTTCCGGCTCTAAAGTATCGATGGACCTTAGAACGTACGGTTTTGCAAATAATCCTTCTTTAGATCTGTAATACGCCAATTCTGCCATTATACTTGCTGCGTCTTCTGGGTATTGCGAGTTAGCCATATTATCAATAAACTCAGTACCATGAATTTGCTCCTCATTGGTCAAATGAACACCATTAAAACGAGGGTCTAATATATTAGCTGCCAAATGTATTGGGTTTATGACAATACGCTTTCTTTTTACTAAAAATTCCTGTAAATTTTGCTCTTCTTGCTTGGTAAGGGGACTTGAAGGTAACACTGTTTGAAAATGTTTTTCCAAACTATAGAAACATTCTACTACTTGACTTAGTTTTGGCTTGTCTGACTCTAGTTTGGTTATGTATTCAACAATGGGGTTAATTAAATTGAACAGTTTTAACACTCTTACCCAAAATACAGCTTCATCTAAAACTAATCTTTCTACTTGCTTACTCAATATAGTATCCACAGTTTCACAAACTGCTAAAGCTTTAAGGGCATATTTGGTATCAAGCAGACTTTTCAAGCTGTGGGTAATTGATCCCCATCGAGTTTTGACGGGTAACTTTAGCGATATTGGTACAGATGTCCCCTTTTTTTCAGTCTGGATCTTTTTGAAAGTGGCTAGTAAAAGTTGAGAATTATTAATTTCCTTAACGATACTTTTAATATCGTCCTCTATCGAAGCCATAGTTCGCATTTTTGAGATGTCTCCTATTAATAAGTTAAGTGTGTGGGCGACGCAACCGTAAACAGATATATGTTTATATTTTTCGTGAATATTGTTCCTGGCTTTCACCATTGCACTGGCGTTGTCCGTCACTAGAGCACTAAATTTTTCTGGTCCTATTTCTGTTAGTACCTCTTCTAATTTTTTCGGCCATGTACTCTGCAGTATGTCGATTTGTGTCAGTAGTGAAAGTTTTGAAGAAAATAGGTGTGGGAGTGGTGATAATAAAGTTAATAATGGATTCGTTTCTCCTGTTGCTCCAACCATCGCACTGCAGGCCTAACGCCTAAAGCATTGGCTTCACTTATTTTAATTTGTATGTTGGCTGCGATGCTTTCATATTCTGTATCTAGAAGTTGATTAGACAAATAATATCGTGAGGGCATTTTAAAGGTTGGCCTTAATGTTTGAAAGAATAACTGCCAATGTTTATTTTCCGAGATTGCAAATGGTGTTCCAGAAGCATAAACTGCTCTTGCAAATAGTTGATCCAACTTTGCTTGCTCCTGTTTATTTGAAAAATCCATAAATCTGCGTAATGTGGAACAAGAGTTTGATGAGTTACCGCCAAAGCTACCTGATATGCTGGCAGCTTTTGTTAAAGTTTCCTCCTCTTCACACTGATCTGAAAAAAATGTTTTATTTTGACTTGATTGAATTTAACTTAAGCAAAAAATATCCTTCCACTGTCCATGTAATAAAGCATACATTTCTAAATTATCCCGGAATATATCCTTTATAGTTAACTCACTATCTATGTTAAAATAAAATTTCTGTTCCATCAGTAACACACAAGCCCGAACACAACAAACTTATACCCCTTGAACTAGCCTTCTTTTCAATATATCCTCCATATACATACCTTTCAAAGATGAAGCTGCAGTACTCGACGGAGATGATACATTTTCTGATCCTACTATTTTAAAGTCTCTCTTAATATTACTGGGACATTTTAAGCACTTCAACAAGTGTTTAGTCATCCTTGTAGCATTTTTTACATATTCACTAGCACAAAATTTGCAGGTATAAACTACTTTTCCTTCAAGTTTTTTCAAGTCAAAATGATTCCACACATTACTTTTTGGTTTGGTTATTTTCCTATCACTCATGATTTTGACGATTTACGTGTTCAAAAAACGAAAAATAATTCTAATACTGTCGTTCGGTTGCGATGCTTGCAGGTTATGACAGGAAGAAATACAAATAAACACCTCTAGGATTCCGGGATTCCCCACGCGGTCCGTTTGGCTCGCTAAAAGTAGGTTTCCGACGGTAACGCCCAGCCGGGTAAGGCGGCGTGTACACCATACTGCTAAAAACATTTTGAGAAAATTACCGGCGAGAATTTTCTCCACGAGAATATTCTCGAGAATATATGTTTTGAGAATATTCTCGCTCACATCACTAATTATGCCGATTTTTTTTTGACATGTTGTTTTGTTTGGACATTATGTAGGTGATTCTGCAAGATGTTAACTAAGCACCTAGTTGTACGTGTTACCTAAACGTCATGAGGCTTGTTATCAATCTTTGGCTCTGATGTGATGTAAAATCTGCTTCTGAGATGGCAATACTGGAGGTCTAAGCTGTAAGTTGTGTGTGTTGATGATAATTACATTGGATTCGTGACTCAAATACACCTAAGTGAGATTCAAAGCTAGAAATTAGTTGCGCATCCACTTTTTCTTATCCATTCTAGAAATTCCATACCTATACAAATTTACTGAATTCCAAAAATGAGAGAGATAAGAAATAATTATATTCACTGTACACTGTCGAATTACAAGCCATATACATGCTAACAGTAATTACACACAACGCGGGCGCGGTGATGATTTCCCGTAATTCTCCTCAGTTTTTCGTAATTTATAACTTTGAACATAACCTTTCTTTAGAAAGCACAACATATAAATAACCCGTCATATTCAGCATATTCAGTAATGATTTTCTCACACAGCAAATATCAGTGATTTTATACACATACAGACCAATACACATAATCATCCAGATGCGCTCTTGCTATTCAGCCGACTTTCTTCTCAGAGATAAAAACTACAGACCCGGATCACTCAGCCTCACAAAACTATGCAACCAATAATGCGTAGTTTGATTGATTCCTCCATAGATGGACGTTCACAATGATCCTAGTGAGCAAACGTGGAATGACTGTTTGCGCCCTAAAAACTACCTAATCTGCAAGTTGACATCTCAAGCCATGTGCAGATATGTAACAACACCCCGAACCGAACCTCGCGACGAACTGCAGCGCGCGCATTTTGACGAACAACATTGCAACGAGCATCACCACAAACCGAACCACGTCGTGCAACCACATCGCGCAACAAAATGACGATCTAATTTTGATGTTTGTCGTTCAGTGAAAGACATCATTTTTTTTTTATTTATTGTAATTAAGGGTATGCTTTGCATCCCACAATTCCCCTGCTCTGTAATGCTCTATAAGCAAAAGAGTTTTCTCCTCCGACCATTCCTTCTTTTCTTCACGGGCTCTATCCATTTACTGATATGAGCGCGTGCTCGCCGCACCGATATCCCTGTCCAAACATGTGCAACTTCGTCGCGAGCCTTTCCTTTGAATGTTACGCTGAAAAGCCGACAGTCTGGGATCGGGCCGAACGACGAGCTGTAACGCTTATCAGGTTCGCGTCGGCGTTTTTTTCACCGTCTACACTAGGCGGCGCGGTTGGTTGCGTGGTTCGGTTCGCGGTGTTGTTTACATATCTGTACATAGCTTTATAGGTTTTTTTTTTGTAGTATTTCGCAAGTATTACGACTTGACTGACAAAACTTGGAATTATTCAGTTTTTAGTAAAAAGAGCCTACGAATGTACTATTTTGAGAAAACATTCAATTTCCAATGTCATTTGCTGGTACGGTCTTTTTCACATTAATTAGTAAAACTTTGGTCAAGGTTTTTGCATTGGAACCAAATGTAATAATTTTTTTTAGCATACCGTGCTAGTTTCTCAATGAAATAAATACTCGATTGTCTCAACCAACTATTAATGGTAGCCCAGGAAAGAAATCATAAGTTAGAAGTTCTTTATAGCCATAACAGGCCAAAAGGCGCAAAAAGTGGGAATTTTTTTAAAGAACTTGAAAGTGGCAAGATCTCGACAACTAGAAAACTTTTACTCAGGTCCTGTTGATTTCATCTGATTGATCTGAAGCCAATCTACCTCCCGTGTTATTCTGGCGTGTTATTTCTGGGACACCCTGTACTTATAAAGGGATATTGGTAGTCTTTCTTTGACCCGCCAAGAACGGTGTCTATTAGTACCGATTGTATATCATGAGTTTGGAAGGGAAAACAAAATTCTTCCAGCTTGGGAAGTACTGATATAGTTGTAGACATCTTATTCAGTGATTATGAAATGAGTGACATGTATTCTGGTCATGTAGACGTCATAACAGGGCTATAATACTTGAAAATAGCAGCAAAAAGGTCTCTTACTATTAAATTGTTATCAGAAACTGGCATGACAGTCGTACGGAATGATTTACATATATGTACCTGTAGATGTACAAAAATGAGCGATCCAAGTTGCCCATACCTCCTACATTTTCTGGCCTCCAAATATAGCGAATTGCAACGTTGTATTAACTCGGAAGTCGGTAAAAAGCATGATGAGGAAGGTAATGTCGGAGTAATAAATTATAGATAAAAAGAACCGCATTCTATAGGAGCAGGCGGCTTGATTAGATTTTCTCCAGTGGCGGCGGGTTATTGCTGTTGATGAGGTGTAGGCTTAATTAAATTCCCAATATGGTGTGATTTTCAAAGTAGATGATATCTTTATTTATCAAATATCTCCAGACTTTTGAAAAGCAAAATAAGTTTTTTCAAATTCCATATTCAGGGAGGAGGTAGTTTGATTAATTTGGATATGGTAGGTTGGATGCTTGGTATTGAATAGATAAGCGGTAAGTGCTAGGCTAGCCAGTATCTAGTTTAAACACTTTCTGTCTACATACTTCTTGCTTTGTAGACAGAGGTTCGGCACCTTTGAGCGGAAAAGTTTATAAAATTTTTGCTTTCCGAGAAATCCTCTTAAGGTTAAACAGATTCCTCGGTCACAATTTGTTAATTTTGTTCATCTAAGACTACCTAGTTCAGCCGGGTGACGGAAATTCGAAACGTGCACATAAAAGTGCCACTCAGTCCTTAATCTACCAGGTGATCACTGATCACAATTGATTTTGCATTTCAAAAGTCACTGCAAGGCACATGAAGAAGATTCGCCCTTCCGTCTCTAACCCATTGTTTCCTGGCGGAAGGCCCCGACTGATAGGGAGACGCCAAGCGTCCAAGAATCATAAGATGAATTGAAAAAATCGCTTAAAGATATCTCCAAATCCCCCTAACTCCAATGGTTATAGACGTGAAAGATCGATACTTATCATTATACCCGATCTGTTTTTCAATGTCGATTCCCAACAAAACGTTCCGCCTATGACTTTCAAACCAATCTGATGTTTACCTGCCTTCTACTCTTTCTTAAAGAGAAAACATAAGACAATTTTAGTATATTCTAAAATACTGTCTTGCTGTGTGTAGTTAGTTGATTTAGACATGGTAATTGGTTACTACAATTTGAGAGACTGCTCAATCAATGGCGTATCCAGAAATAATTCTGGGGGAGGATCTAGCGACTGAAAATTGTAACGCCAATAGTCATGAACGCGAAAGCAGATGCATTAGAAGAGCTAGGCCTGGCCTGTCCAACGTACGGCCTGGTCTAGCCCGCGAGCCAGTTACATCTCTCATCCAAAATTCAAAAATACTTCCGAAGATACAAGTACTGAAGAAGATATCTACGGAGAAGTAAAGAGTTGTATAGTCAAAAATATGAACTGTAAATCGAAAATCTTTGCGGCTTAACAACAGACGGAGTACCTGCAATGACAGAACAAATGGATTTGTGGCTTTAATGCGCAATCGCAACACACATACAATCATACTGCATCACTGTACTATTCAACAAGAACAGCTGTATGGAAAAGTACTTGACCTGAAACACGTGATGGATAAGGTAGTGTTGGTTCATTGGGAGACCTTATCTGCAAGAAATCAAGAGTCATTGGACTTTGTAAAGTACGTGTGGTTGTTGCATCTTTATTAGACACCCATCTTACAGGCATTTTGCACGTAGCCACTTCTAAAATACCAGCTAACACTGCAAACAGAAAAAATGTCAGATCTCATTAATTAGATTTTAATAGTACCTACCGAAATATTATACTCGTAAGTAAAATAATGAGGCTTATTTAAATAAATTGATCATATTAGAATGTGTCACTTTACTTATGTTGGACAGACCTAAGCTAGACCTTTAAAAGAGCATCAGCATCACGGAATTGAATACTAGAGACAGGTTTTTAACACTTAGTATTCATGTAAATATTAGGAGCATTAGGAATAATTTTGACAACGTTCTAGTAACATTGTGATCATTTAATTGATAAATTTGAACTACTGTGATATTCTTGTTTTAAGGAAGTGTTTCCATCAATTTAAACAGTATAAGCAGTTTAACATTAGAGGTTATAATTTACATTATAGTCATAGAAATCTAAATCCTATTTAACATATATATTGGCCTAAAAATATAAATTCTACCCTCACATATATTAGAGACATCAGGACTCAACATATTTTCTTAAAACAATGTAACTTATACGTTTTTGGAAAATACAGGGTGTTTGAAGGGTGAGTAGCCAAACAGAAATGGTGGATAGCTGAGGCTACTGACTATTTACAGCTAATAATTAATTTACATTTTGCCTCTGTTTTAAGGAGAAATAATGATTTTTTATTTTTTCGAGAAAATCCCCAGTTTTTAAATTTAAGTTCCAATATTTTTTTCTATTGACGGTGGCAACGACGCAAAATTGATTTTATTCTGATGTCTACTATTACTTCATTGAGATTCAACCAACATTTGATACAAACAGTTGGAGAACAAGTAACAGTGGAGCAACAAATTTCCTTAAATCAATGGGAAAAAATGTTACGTCAACTTTACAATAAGCATAAAAAAATAACATAAAAGAGTACGGGGTTTTCAAATGTAATTAAAAACTTCTC